ATCAATCCCATTATGAAGCCTTCAGTGTAAACCTAACAGTTCTGATGAGACACATTCAGTCACTTATGGATATTCTTGGAGTCTATTAACAATACTTTGGTAACTGTTGGTTATTAGCTTGCCACTGTTACAATAAAAATAAAATTCTTGCTTCTTAATCATCAGAAGTCAAGAAGAGTTGAAGGTGTGGTAAAATATGTGAGGTAGTGGAGTACACTTCCATCCTGCTACATAGCAGCAGCATCTGTGTGGGATTGGTGGTTTCCTCTAGCATGTCTTCAATGGCCCTGCAGTTAAAATTGCTTTTGTCCCTCTGCTGCAGGATTGGCGGTAGGGCTGGGAATTGGTGCCATTGCAGAAGTTGCAAAGCAGTCACTAGGAGGCAAACAAAAAGCAGGTAAAGATGTTTTACTGCTGTTCTCTCCTTCCATCCTGTAAACGAGCCTTCTGTCCTAGACTCTTGGCAGATTCAGCAGACAGATGGACGCCTGGTCAACCTTGAGTAGTTTCTAATGTGTCAATACCCGATAGGCCCAGGACAGGCTTTAGATCAGATATGCTAACAAGAATTTATAACAGCTTTAATATGTGTTAAATGAGCAGTGCTTGATGATGTACCACTGCCTCAGCTTTTATGCTCCACTATCCACAGTTGTCTCAGTTTAAGGCCAGAGCTTATTTACATGCAGCAGTTTAAATTAAATAAATGACTTCTGTCATGCTATGATACTCTTAATATGTTGCACCTAATATCATTACTAATACTGCTTCTGTTTACAGATGTAAGCTCCCTGCTAGACTCTCCCTTCCTGTCAGAGGCCAATGCTGAGAGAATAGTCAGCACTCTGTGTAAGGTCCGTGGAGCTGCTCTCAAGATAGGCCAGATGCTCAGCATACAAGGTACACGCTGTAACACGGGCTTCACGCAAAATGCTCTTTAGATGTTCTCACAGGATTTTTCTGACAGTGGCTTTTTCTCTTCAGACAACTCCTTTATCAACCCCCAACTGCAGAAGATCTTTGAGAGGGTCCGACAGAGTGCAGACTTCATGCCCACATGGCAGATGACTGTAAGCCCAAGACCTGTTACTGGCTCTTCAGCTATTTTCACACAGTTATTTCAATTCAGTGTTATTTGCAAAGATTGAAATGAAAACAACAGTCTCCTCAAGACTGTAAGGGAAAGACCTTATAATAATAGAGAGAAAACCCCAACAATAGGGTGACCCTACCATGAGCAAGTAGTTGGCGACAGTGGAAAGGACCCCCCCCCCCTTTTAAGTGGAAGAAACCTCTGGTAGAACCAGGCTCAGGAAGGGGCAGCCATCTGCCACGGCCAGTTTTATCTAATCTTAGAAGCAGGAAATTGTCAGAATATGATGTGTGAGGACCCAAGGTGCAACACAGGCAGGTGGCAGTTTTTAAAAAGGCGAGCCCTTTATTGAGCTGATAAAAATCTCATGAGGCAAAACACAAAACTAAGCCAAATGAAACTCACTAAGGAGCTGAGATGCTAGGGAACGAAGACCAGGAAACGGACTGCACCAGGGAAATGAACAGTACACTGATGAAGGACAGAGGGAGACAGATACGGTCTATAAGCAGGACGTTGATTAGGGGAACTGGAGACACTTCCGGGCAGAAAATCATGAATAACAAGACAAGGGAAGTTAGACTGAACATAACGCACAC